TTTCCATTCATCCTCCTAATTTACTTGTTGTTCACATTACACGTACAATAATTCACGCACACGAGACATTCATTTACTAATTTACATCTAAAATACTGGCGATCTACACGAGATTAATCGCGCGTTATCCAATCGTGATAGTATTAATATCTTTGTAGAAATTGCTATTGCTATTGTTCTAGTAAATACGTTTTCTATCATCAAAAATGTTTGAACTATCTTAATATTTTATTTTTCAATAAAGGATAATTTATTTTAATTCAGTTTGGTTCTGCTTTTCTATATCATTAAAGTTTAAAAGTAGTATCATATGATTCAAACATGTGAAGTTTGCGTTCACCTTTTTCTAAGAAGATAATAAATTACTATTTATGTAGCAACGTATGTCTTGGTTATATAACAATTATTAAGGACAGATTAAGAAACTTGTTAAATGAGTAAATTCAATGAAACGATCCTTATCCTATTCATGTTGATACTACCACGATTTCTTCTCAATTACCAGAAGAACGATCGTTTGAATGTTCTTTAAAAAAAGTTAATATATTACGTATCTTTCGCTCAAGAACCACTCGCAGATCTATTCTATCATCTGAGACTAGTTCACACGTATTATCGATATTTTACCTTAAACATATATCCGTTTGTTATTAATTCGTCACCGTAGTTTAAAAAGAAGACACGTTAAACAGACACTCTAACGTTTACATTAAAATCATCGTTTTGTACATTTACTGCACACTTGCTGAAGAAATCCTGTTGTTATCAGTTTCAAAAGTTTCTCTGTGACGAGTAACAAAGATACGGAGTATGTCCATCGGGATCAGGTGATGAAGACTGTCATCGTTCGTTTAGATTCGGATTGTATATCGGCCTGCTGCTGAGGAAGTTATTCCCACGGGTTGGATTTGTCCTGACTTGCATGTATTTAGGCCTTTTGTGCCTGGTACTCCAATGTAGATAGGTATACCAACCGGCCACCAAAGCTCCAAAGGCGTTGCAAGTGGAAGAGAAGATCAGAAGAATGGTCAGAATACTCTCGACTTCGGGACAATTCAGATCCATGTATCTGACTGCCGTTTCGGTGGAATTCGACGCATTCTCACGAGGCTTGCACACGCAGGTAGCGTTCAGTACGCGCGCCGGATTGCATTCCAGGCCCATTAAACGTGCCAGGTGTATCGCGGAGAATACACAAGCGATAGAACAGGTCACTGTCGCCAACGTTGCTAATAATACACTAATTACCTGTTAAAAGAAAAAAAAAAAAAACATTAGTAAAAATACACGAATTTTAAAAATAACAATTGCGTTAAATGCGAAAAATATAATACAAACTTTAGTATTTTATTGATACGGAAAAATTAGATATTTCATGTAAACAATATAAATTGAAGTTGAAGTCTAAATTATTAAAGAAACTTGTAATTTATATGCGATTACATAAATTTTAATGTTTGATCTTCAAAAGTTTTTGAAGGTGATATGTTTTAAAATGATGAATAATCACCTTAGTCGATGTGAGACAAAACCCGGGACTCATGCCGGGGTACTCCTTCTTAAAGCAGCAGAGCAAACAAATGCCAAAGCTACCTGAAAGTAACAACTGCAAACGAAAGAAAACAAATGGTGATTCAGTGACTAGTTTTTTTGAAGGACTGACGTTGAAGAACTGATCATTTCATTGAATATTCACCGGCATTCCACTCCAGTAAGGATTATCTGCGGCAGGTAGATGAGGTGCCCACAGCAACAACCATAATGACAATGAAGTGATCGCTACACCGAGGATTGTTTGCAACGCTGCTAGACATCGTCCTAATCGCCAGTGATAAACCAATGGCGGCAGGAATTTTTGTGGTCCTGAAAGAAAGAAAAAATATTATTATATCATCGGATTAATATGAAATATTAAAAAAAAAAAAAAATTTCTTTCAACTATTAATCCAGAATTAAAAATAGAAAAATCTCGTTGACAGACAAGATCTTTAATCTGCTACATGCCAACAAGTAGTTAAAAGATAGAATCGCTGCCACTTATCCGTATAGTTACGTAACACCCATCCATCCTCCTCGTCCAGTATACGAAGAGCAAATTGATTTTATCCTACCTATTACACAACGGCCGAC